CCTCTGAGATAATGGTCCATTTCTTGTTCTCGGGCGTCCGATCTTTGACAGCCTTGCTCATTCTTGTGATTCTCTTCCAACAGCCGAACAGCCAGTCGTGCGGAGTCAAATCCCCCAGCGCTGCACCTGCTTCCATAATGGCCTGCTCTATCAAATCGGTGTTCAACAGCAATGGTTTGCCTTCAGCCTCCAACTCTTCTCTAAGTTGTGTCAGAACGTGGAGCTGCTGACCGTGCATATCTTTCGTCTGCTCAGGGTTTAAGCTGAGACGAAAAATATTCCTCAACGTGCGGTCTTCCCACTGTTCGATGGTCTCACTTGGTCTTGAGCTCTGTCTTGAACTTGGTCTCTCCACGCCGTCCATTTCTCGCTTCTGGGGGGTGACATTTGCCGGAGTGATTCGTATCCGGGTCGTAGGTGGAGGGGATGGTTCCTTCGTGATGGTGCCAGATGGCGTTGTTGATCCGGTCGGCGTTGGAAGAGGATCTGTGTTAACCTGGGGGGTGTCTGGTTGTGATGATGGCGTTGACTCAACGCCATCTTCGGCGGGAGTTGAGGCTGCGGCGACGGCATCTTGCGACTGCTGCGGCGGCGGCTGTGACTGCTGCAATTTCGCGAGCCTCTTGTTGCGGATCTAATCGATGTTAGAAGACCCTGATGCGTGAGCATCTCACGCACCTTATCTGAGTCCATAGAAGGATCCGCCATGGCTGCGGTGGGTATAGATAACAAAAGTCTTGCACGCGAGGTTCACACGAGGTTTCGCGAAGGCCGACAATTTGGGGTTCAAGTTGACGTCGACGGTGTTTAGAAAAGACTAGAATCAGTGGTTCGGAACAACTGCCAGCGGTGGTGCCCGGGGTATGGCCGCCCCCGCACAAGCCTGACAAGTCAGTTTGCTGCCTTCCTACTCAGAAATGTAGGTGCTGCCACGAGGGCCTAGGGACTACTCCAAGGGCTCTTCAGCACTTTGCTACCTAAGGCTGGTGCCTGATTGTACTCCTGGCTGGAGAAGACAATCTGTGGTACAGAGGCAATGAAGGATGCGGGTCCTTAACAAAGAATCTTTTGAATATAGCCAGCTACTTGCAGCCTGCCGTCTGCCTAGCGAACATGGCGCCACCAACACCAAACAAAATGATACATTCCCCCAAAAGCAAGCACGAACAATTCTTCATGTGACATTTCCGCTCCTCAACTAGTATTGCCGGGTTACTTTCAACTCATCCAACCGGCGGCAGCCGGGCATTGCCATTTCCCTGGCTCTCTTTAACCTGTTCTCATCTGTAAAGAAGAGACCCGTGGCTTCATTGATCTCGTGTCGCTGCCGTTGTACTTCGCTCTCGCATTGATACTTCAAGGTCGAAACATAATCCACTTCTGCCCGTTGATCCAATGAGCTGAATTGTCTGGATGTGTATCCTTCCACCTCCGCGGGATTCAAGAAATAATCGATGTGGTACCTGGGCGTCACCCTGTGCATCGTGTGTGGTGGAACCGGGGAATCGTATCGGACATGTGGCCCTGAATTGGATGATCCGGAAAAGAATGATGATAGCAGTGGAAGAATAAAAAGTAGGAGCAGTGGTAACAGTTGTGTGAGCGCTGACAAGCCTGATGGCGCAGTTTCCGACGCGTTTCTCGGTCTCCCTCGCGGTCTGGTGCCGCCCATGGGGTGTACTGTAAAACCAGGACCCCCGCCCATATTGAAGACGAATTGAGGGCCACCGAAGCCGCCACCTCCTTCGCAGATCAGCACAATTCGCACAACATAATTCAATGCCCGCAGGATGTCTTACCAAATTGGAACCCAGGTCCCAAGCCCCCACCGAAGAACCTGTTGAACAATTCCTCTGGCGATATCTCATCTTCGTACATTGGTCCTCTCCCAGGCGATCTCGCAAAGCCACTGAAAGGACTGGCTCCTGCGCCCGCAGCACCACTGCTAGAAAAGCGGTTATCAGGATCACCACCAAACTGATCATATCTCGACTTCTTCTCGGCATCTGATAGGATTTGGAATGCTCGCGATACCACTGATCATCATCAGCATCGCAGTCTTCAGCACAATGGAAATATTCTGATCCTCACTCTTGAATGCCTCATCGGCACCTTCATACCCATTTTTATCCGGATGCGTCAATAGACTGATTTTGCGGTACGCCTTCTTAATCTCTCCGTCGCTTGCGGTTTTCTCAACCGCAAGAATCTCGTAGAAAGCCGTAGGACTGCATCTCCGTATCCTTATCACTTCGGCCTTCTGTTGCGGAGTCCATTTTCGCTCCTGGTTTCCTTGATTGTGTTCTCGTGAAGTCGCAGACCCGTTTGGCCTCGCGTTGGAGCCAGAAGCTGTTGCGGACATGCCGCAGGATAAAGAGGCCTGGAGGATCGCACGCAGTCTTTGTTGGGGAAGGGAGTTTCAAAGAATCAGAAAAGATATTCTGATCAGGCCTTGGGACGTTCGTTTGACTTTTGGCGGGGTGTAACTTTTTGTAGCAAAGGTGTTCAAAAACAAGATCCCAAGTCCGCGCCGAATAACGGTGGGTGGGTTGCAGGTGACTAGAGGCGCTGTTGCCGAAAACATGCCAGCCCTGAAATGACGTTGACTTGCCTCGTGCTTTTTCCACCTACACCCCAGCTCTCCTTCAGCTTGAGGTTGCACAATCAACTCTTTGATTTTAAACGAAATGCGCTGAGGATCCGGCTCAGTGTTACAGAATCCAACATGGCTGACCCTCAAAAACAAGAAGAGGCCAAAGAGTCTCTCATCGTCACAGCCAAAAAATGGGGAGGTCTGTAACCACCTCTCTCTGCAACGTTCGCATTGCGATTGACTCTGCTCCAGTCTACCTGCTTACGCTCCTAACAGAGAATCCTGTTCCCCCAGCTCTTCTTGCTACCCTCGTCTTCGCACAACATGCTCGGCCTTTCCAACCTCTTCCCATGCTGTTTCCTCCCTTGCTACTCTTCTCGACCTATCTTAACCTCCAAGGATTCAAGATCGATAGTGCGGGGACGACAGCTGCGCTCAGTGGTACCTACCTTGTGTTAGCTGGAAGGAGGAGAATGGGCTTCATGAATAAGTTCGGCGCAAGAGGCATCATTCGAGGTGCCACTATGGGATTGTGTCTGGCGAATTTGGTAGGCGGAGGTCTTGCCTATGGTTTCGGCAAACGAAGAGAAGAGGACGAGAAGAGGAAAGAGCTATGAAAAGAGGTGGATTAGCTCGCCCAGAGCTTTACGCAGAGTAGGGGGAATGCACCACACATATTGCAGAGACCGGAAGACAGATGAGGACTTGTCTGTGGCATAACCCTGCAATAACGTATGGAGTTCTTGACACGAAATTCGATGACGACCGAGTATGGTATCATCACCGCAAAAGTGTTTGAATTGGAATCGAATGTGGCGGGGACGGCGGAGGACATTGTTAAAAACGCCCTGCAACTTTAATTGGGTTTTCGTTTTTGTATTCACGGATGGATGTTGAGATGATAAGGAAGCGATATATACTGGAGGTCACGGCATTGGATATTCTGACACCGGCTAGGACGGCTACATGTATCAGTACAGGCTGCTAAAAACAAAAGACAGAAGCAAATGAAATGCTTTCAGTTGTACATACACATGCCGCTGCCAAACCCCGTACAGCATATCCGTTAACCCAAGCCTTCGAGGGTCTCAAATCCTCATTGCTCTCATGTCGCGCTCAAACAGCGAAACCGACCATCCTATCTTTTTAAATGGGTATGTCTCTCCTCATTTGACGCACTCAGATCTATCTTGCCTGGCCAGAAAGGTAGGTTATCCCAGCACAGGCACAAATCAAAGTGTAACACGATACCGGAGAACTCTCTTTTGAGTAGTGGTTATCAATCTCGGCATGATTTTGACAACATCCGCTATGGGGTAACCAGAAGAGGTGGAGCAGGATGAAGCTTCGAAAGTGCCGGGTCTTACTCACCACCTCACCTTGCCTCAGTTCACTGATGACGCGCAGTTTGAGGTGGATCGAGATGTCGAATTGACCAAAATTTGAGCCCGCGGAACCATGTGCAAGTGCAGGGGACGGGGAAGGAATGAGTGTATATATATGTTACCAGCTCAGGTTGTTCCCGAGGAGAGGACCGAAGTGGCGACAGGGGGAGGTCCGAGAGAAGAAGAAAAGAAGAGAAGGAAACTGGCGAGGAAGATAAAAGGGAAGTTTTATTGACTGCGTCTTTGAATCGCACTTGGCGAGACCATCAGAGGGTGAGGCAGTAGGTTCTTTAGTGGGTTTGAAGTTGATAGATTGTCAGCCAGAAAGCGAACCAAGTCACCACCACGATTCTGCCAGACTTCTGGCGAGAATAAAGCGGAGTTGGATTAGAAAGGCATTCTTGTATAATCTCGGCAGCTCGACAATGTGTGGACGCAACGGGAGCGGAGGTGCATTCAACAGGGGTATATTGAGTGCCTTGGACTAATATGTGAAGAAAGAAAATCTATGGAGCTAAAAGGCTGGGTTGAAATGATTTTGCTGGGTGGAGTTGGTGCAAGGCTGGAATTTTCTTGGCAAGGCTGAGTGCTGCAGCCTCGTCGTCAGTGTTGGAAGGGCAACGCCCAGCTCTATAGACGATGAAAGACAGGACACGATTAAAGGCAGCACGACTGCCTTTTCTGAAAACATTGACTATCTGATCGCCTTCCATTTTGCCAATCTTCCTAGACTCAGATACAACCATTTCCTCGAACTCGGCAGAGATTGGACATTGTCCCGTCGACTGCGTAAGTTCCTGTATTCTAGGATTTGACTATTTCACCCTTGTCTGGCAGATTACCACTGAGCGGCGAGACCGTTCTGATAGCTGCAAGTACTGGACACGATGCCTCCATTCTCGTCCCAGCAGATGTTCTGTGCATTGAACACCGAAAGGGCGCTCACTCATTAGCGCCGCGCGTGGCAAGTATCATCGACTCTGCCGGTAGATATCTTCTAGGTTGCTCGCCGACCAATCCCTTCATCCACCGGTAGCCTCCCGGTAGATAGCAACGGCCTTGTTGCTCCCCACAGTGACAAACCTCTCAGCCTTCTGTCGCTGAACACTGGTCTCACCCTTAGGTTGCCACTTGACACACCACAGACCCTTTTCACTCTCGCCGTGTGTCGCAACACAAGCCCTCCGCTCGATATCCCACACCTTGACCTTGCCATCCAGACTCCCGCTCAAGACATACTGGCCGCTGTGATTCCAATCAAGATCTGTGATCCAAGCTGCATGGCCACTAAGGTTGGCAATTTGCTCGCCTGAAGTGGGATCGTAAAGGGAGATTATTCGTGCGTCGCCAGCTGCTGCAAGAAGAGTAGATCCAGGAGAAAACTTGACGGCGCGGACGGGTTTGATGAGTCCGGGGAGTGAGTGCAGTAGGCGAGACGTAGCCGTAGAGAACAGGTAGATCGCTCCGGACTCGTGGCCACTGGCTATGAATCGGCCATCAGGCGACTGTTTTCTCAAGAAAAACGGGAAGTGTCAGTGTATTCTCCATTGACCGGTCAACGCCACGCTCGGTAGATGAAGGGGATTCTTACCACGTCCACAGACATCCCAAAACTCCCCTTAGTCTCGAATTCTCGGATCTTCTCCCGACTTACTAGATCCCATACATTCACTCGCCCATCGTGGGTTGTGCCAGCGACAAACTTTCCGTCAGAGGACAAAGACACCGCCCAAATCTCTCCTGTTTTCTTCTTCGACCCGACGTCGAATGCTCCATCGTCCTGCCACTTGCCCTCCTCGTATTTCCATATTCTGACCTCACCTCCAAAGCCAACACTGACAGCTCTCGTGCCGGTGCTGCGGTCTGTGCTGATATGGTGACACCCGATTTTATGGGCGTCCTTGAGAATCTGAGCAATGGGAAAGCCTTCCTCGGTGGCAGAATAGATTTTGATCGAGTTCTCGCCCGAACCTGTAAGGATTTGCGTTTGGTTTACAGCGAGGGCAAAGATATCTGTGGTATGGGCTGCACAATGTTAACTTGGTTGCAGAATAAGAACGTGTTGTGGAGGTTGCCATTACCTTCATCGATCGAATGGAGAGCGAGATATTGTTTCGACTGAGGCTATGTCAGTCACCGCGACCGCATATACAGACACAAGTGGGTTACAGACCATGTCGACTGCGTCGATACATTATACGGCAGGCTGAGTGAGACAAGCCAATCGGGATAATATGGGCAAGAGCGTCGAACCTATGTGAATCGGATGAAGCAGACTGGATTGGCTTCCGTTTTGGCTGCGGTACAAATTATATTTGAAATGACGTAGTTTTACAATGCTCCGCACCCCTCCAATTTATTGTTGAACAGTGTGACAGGGTGCACACAGGCCAGATAGCCCTTATTCCTTCACCGAGACTGCACATACCCAAGTGCTAGAATCATCCTGAACCATGTCTCAATCACCTGGGCTCCGATAAACGCCATCTCTAGGGTCTCCCGACTGACAGACGATGCGCACTGTGCCTGGGTCGTGTTCCGCTTTGGTCGATCTTCATCCCGCTTGACCTATACTTCTGTTTGGTTGCCCAAGTCGTTGTGAATATCCATCGCCTGATGCTATACACATCAATGGTACGTCCTTGGTGGCATCTCGTCGGGAAGTCATGGGAAGGAAGACGATGTAATAATGCACCTCAGGATCTGGGACACTGTCCCTCCGCGGCAATAAAGAGCCAGTGGTATATTTGCCTCAGCAGATCCCTTTGTATAATATGCATTGTCCTCCTCTCTCCGTCCGGAAGATGTGTTTCAGTCTCTCAACTTTTGGCTCCCTCCGTTGACTTGGCTGTTCCGCTCGCTTCTGCATCTCGGTGTTTCCAACTCTCATAGATCTCTGCAGCCTCAATCAGCGTGAGTGACTATATTCATGTATATTATACTGACCCGCAACACAATATGGGCACAACGTATGGGCCTTTTTGGGTCTCCCGCAGCCGGGGCATTGATTGACTGCTTTTACATCCTTCAAAGCTTTTCCCGCGAGTTGTCGATGCCTCTTTTTCATATGTGACGTCTTTTTCTTTGGCACTGCCCTCAAGATCCCCTCCCAGATGTCTGAGAGGAAGCCAGGGATGCGTGTTGCGATTGAGGGTATTGCGACGGATGCGGAGAGGATGTTAGAGAATGGCCATGATTGTATCGACACGGAAAGTACAGCTGGACTTCTCCGCAGGGCGACTTGTGACAATTGAGAGCCGCTCAATGCAGCAGCCAGTGCCATGTTTGCAGCGTTGCTACTCCTTCCAATGAGCTATGTGGAACAATGTTCTTAAGAATCTTTCTGCAACGAGCTTCGTATCCAGCGCGCTAGCTTTTCACAGTTAGAAAATGGCTAGTCAGGGACACCCAATAAAGCAGCGCACGGATCGTACGCCACTGTTTAGCTTTCTTAAAGTGAACGCCCCTTGTCCCTTGGCACGAGACAAAAAGGGGGTCCTTCTTTCAATGCTGGCAAGATCGTCTGGGGAAATTGTTTCGTCGCAGGCAGTCGCAACTCCTTCTTTTCTCGTGCACAAGCCATATCCTGCGATTCTATTGTCTTCAACTGTGTGTTAACACAAACTTGTCTCGTTCATCGCATTGATATCCTTGATCTCTACATCATCGAACAGACACGATGACCATGGCTATGAACCAACCGAACGCGGTGTTCCCACGTTCACATGTGGGCTTCGACTCTATCACCCAACAAATTGAGAAGAAGTTGTTGAAGAGAGGTTTCCAATTCAACGTCATCTGTGTTGGTATGGCTCTGAAAACATTCTCTGAGGCTCAAACACTCACTCTATTCAGGCCAGACTGGACTCGGAAAATCGACCCTTATCAACACGATCTTCGCGAGCCACCTCATAGATTCTAAAGGCCGACTTCGACCCGATGAACCAACACGCTCCACTACTGAAATCCAGACCGTGTCGCACAGTCAGTTAATCGTCCCTTAGGTGTGTGGAAACGTGTCACTGACCACTTCTGTAGTCATTGAAGAGAATGGTGTGAGACTACGGCTGAACATTGTCGACACCCCTGGCTATGGTGATCTGGTTAACAACGATCGCTGGTAGGTGTTGCGAAATTGTCATGTTTGGCGATGGCTTTGAACCGTGGGACTGACTGTTGTATAGCTGGGATCCTATTGTGAAATACATCAAAGACCAACACTCTGCGTACCTGCGAAAAGAACTCACCGCCCAGCGAGAACGCTACATTCAAGACACCCGCATCCACTGTTGCCTCTTCTTCATCCAACCCTCCGGCCATGCTCTGAAGCCGATTGACATTGTGGTTCTAAAGAAACTCTCCGATGTCGTCAATGTGGTTCCTGTCATTGCGAAAGCCGATTCCCTCACACTTGAAGAGCGCAGGGCGTTCAAGGAGCGGATCAAGGAGGAGTTTGCTTTCCATAACCTCAAGATGTATCCGTATGACAATGAAGAGCTGGACGATGAGGAAAGAGCAACCAATGCCACCATTAAGGACATTATCCCCTTTGCAGTTGTCGGCAGTGAGAAGTCAATCATTGTTAATGGCAAGCAAGTTCGCGGTCGACAAAACAAATGGGGCATCATCAACGTCGAGGATGAGAACCACTGCGAATTCGTGTACCTTCGGAACTTCCTTACCCGAACTCACCTCCAAGACCTCATCGAGACCACCAGCCAGATCCACTACGAGACCTTTAGAGCCAAACAATTGTTGGCACTGAAGGAGAGCAGTGCTGCAAGTGGCATGGCTGGCAGCAGACCAATCAGCCCTGCTGCTGACCGTGAATTGAGCAGGGGTTCGCAGCGCGTGACCATGAACGGATATTAGGAGATTTGCACATATGAAGCAGTCAAGCAAGGGGATGGGGATGGGGATGGATTTGACAAAAGCAATGGTTGAGCTTGAGCGATTGCCATATCCTTTTCTTGTCGCCTGAAACTTTATTCTAATGTAGCGTCTATGCAGAGAGCGGGCCTTTCGTCTTTGAGCTGGGGTATAAAGTAATTCTCATGATTGTTCATCGCCGTAATTTCTGGACCGTAACTCCGCGCACCGATATTCTATTTTCGCACCATTGCTGCTTGGTGAATCAACCCGAGGCTTCTGTACCAAGTTCTTTCATCACCCATTCGTCAAGTTCCTGGAACGTGGCATCCAGATCGTCGTTGATGATGACCTTGTCGTTTTTGCCCTCGGTCTTACAATACTCGATCTCATGTCTGGCCTGAGCTAGACGCTTTTGGATTGCATCGTCGGTCGTATCGCCACGGCCTCGAAGTCTCTGCTCCAGAACCTCAATACTGGGCGGTTGAATGAAGCATATCCTTGGGTTCAACTTGCTCTTCTTCAACTGCTTGACGCCTTCCATCTCGATGTCAAAGATACATATTCTCTTGCCGGGAGCTGTGCTGCCATCAATGCTCTTGCCTTTCCCTTCGGCGACGTCTTGAACAGCCTTCTTCGAGGAGCCGTAGTAGTTCCCACCAAATTTCGCATGTTCCTCAAATGCATTGTCTGCAATCATTGACTCGAACTTTTCGGGGGTTATGAAGTGGTAGTGGACGCCATCTTCCTCGCCTGGTCGGGGCTTTCGAGTGGTATGTGAAACACTGAAGCCGAAGAGGTCGGGATGTTTCGCAAACAGTCGCTTTAGCAGAGTACTTTTGCCAGTGCCCGAGGGCCCAGAGATTACAATGGGCCGGGGCTCGCCTGAGGGCGCAGAGGTAGACATTGCCACACCACGATGTGTATATTGGAAGAAGGATCTCGATATGTGCTCTGAGTGGATCTGGGGCCTCGGCAGTACAGAAATCACCCTCCTCAACATAAAGAGGTGTTTGAAATGGGGAGGTTGTGACCGCAGTGGTACATAATAACGAATAGGTACATGTCCAATGCGGTGAGAAAAAGAGCCAATGACCACAATCAAACGACGGTCTTGGCAGGGGTTTTTCGAATCAGGGAAATCCTCGCGATCTCTCCAACTTGTCTCATTCTGCCTTGCAAAAGACACTTAATTCATGCCCCCCATCATCCACGGTACACGGTACTGTACAGCCCATCATCACGATGGAAACACCAGAGACCCTTGGTCCGCCGGAAGATACTCCTACCGAATCGCACCAGTCGCAGGAAGGTAATACAGACAACACCTGCGAAGATGCTTCACATGGTGTAGTCGGCATGGTGCCGGGCAGCAATGGCAAAATGCGCCCCAGGCGCCCACGCGTAAGTGGTCCAGGCTGAGATGTCGTTACCATCGACGTGACCCCCGGTATCGGGCTCGGCCAAATCAGTCCGGTCTAATAGGATCGGTAGGGTCGTCATGCAAAAGATCCATTGGCAAAGTCGATAATGATCAGTTGTCAAAGACTGGAAGATCTCGAGGCCGCGCTCAAGCAGCAATTGGCAGATCCGGCCATTGACCGCGAGCACACTACGCTGGAGTTTGACTTTCCAGTCACTGCCGCATTCATGGTAGCTGCGAGGGAGGCAACCAACAAAGGAGATCTGAACGATAAGAAGACGCCATACATCTACAGTCCTTTCAATAAGACCGCAATAACTGTCGTTGATGCGCTGCACACGATCAAAGACCCTAAGGAACGTGCAATCATGCAGAAAGGGATCAGCAAGACCCTCGTTGAAGCATGTCAAAACGTAGATGGATATCGTTACAGTTTCCACAATCATTGGATCAGTCGAGAGGATCAAGCGAGCAGATTTTCATACTGTAGGTTGCCTTAGAAAGCAGCTCTTGCTACAAAATTCTCCTTTGCGGCACATGATTTCCATCACTAACCAGACGCCAGATTGCAACGACTCGGTTCTCAACAAAGGTCGCGCTGCTAATGAAGGCGTTTCCAAGATGAAAGCCGGTGTCAAGGTTCGCAAACCGGTGTACGACTGTCATGGCTTGATCTCTGTCAAATTCTCCGTGACAAAGGACAGTCTGGAACTTCATTACAAGCACATTCCCCTCCACAAGACCTTCGAAGAACGAGCCCCAAATCCGCGGAATGGATCGAAACGCAAACGTCTCCTGGAAATATTTCATCCTGAAAAGCTCGTGAGACCAAAAAGGAGAAAGTCAAGTGCGCCGAAACCGAAGAAACCTGCTGCCGAGCCGGT